TTCCAATGCTATCATTATAAATATTACCAATGATGTTGTTATTAAAATCAGATTTTCTCTTTTTTCTCTACAATCATCGGGTGAAGAACTGGACCTCATTGAGCGGAAGGGCGTGCTCCTCCTGCAGCAGTCTCAGTTGCCCAATAAAGAAAGCTTCGCCATATGGGACGGCAGCCTGCAGGAGAGTCTTTCCGCCTTCACCCTCTGTTACAGGATCAAAATTTTTTACTACCGGCCGGAGGTTACTGTCTTCTCTTATATAGATCAGCAGTTTCAAAAGATCAGGACAGGTAAGTGGGCAAAGTGGACGTCATTTTTTTTTTTTTTTTTTTTTTTTTACCAATGGCGGTAGAAAGTGGAAACAAGTCTTTGAATGTGAAGTTACTTTACATAAGAATGAATGTTTTTAATTGGCATTTGAGCATATGAGGTTTGTTTAATTACAAGTCGAGTAGTAGTAATTCTGAACTCTGTTGTTAGGTTGCGGGGGGGTGGGGGGCACAGAAAAAGGATAAGTCGATGGTGCCATCTCAATAATAATAATGATAATAATAATAATGATAATAATAATAATGATAATAATAATAACAATAATAACAATAATAATAATAATATTTATTATAATAATAATAATAATAAAACAATAACAATGATGACGATATTAGTAGTAATAATAATAGTAAATGAATGAATAAATGAATGAATAAATAGGAATACGAAGTGTAAGTACATGTGAAAAAGACCATCTTCCAACAGCTGTTCAGTGACCCTTTTCAGCGTGTGACAGTCGGCTCCTTAATGCGTGTGGCGCGTGTCTAGCGAGTGATCACAGTCGCCTTAAGTGGAGATGGTTATCGGAGATGATTGAAGGTAGAAATATTGATTCCATGGCGACATAATTTTGAAAGAGGCTTTAAGAACCCCTCTGTTACATAACGTAACCTTTTTTTTTAACAAAGGTATATATTGTACAGTAGAGTAATACTAGGGAGGAACTATGAAGGAATTATTGAATATACAATAGACTCGAGATACATAGAATAATATGTTCTTATTCATTCATTTATTTAGTTCTTCAGTAATTGGAGGCTAGCTCTTCTTTTTGCCTCTTAGATCATTTTGAATTGAATGCATGAATCTGAAAAAATGGTTATTAGTCTGAAACTGGAGATAATGACAATGATATTTCTGATAATAAATACTGTTGTGTAATTTCATAATGAGAGGGTCTCACTGCTGTAATTATGAATAACCAGGTTTAGTGTTTATGTGCGTGTGTATTTTCATTCATGCATGTATGAATGTGTGTATGTATATGCCTTCAGTAATTAACCGTTCATTGCAGTGCATTGCACTCACGCGATATAGACAGCAATTTCATTTTCTAGATACAATCAAAAGAATATGTCATGCTTTTTGCCGAAATGCATCATAACGTGACTTCATTATGGAAAACATGCTGTCTCGTTTCTGACATAAGTCAACATCGTTTTGTAGTCTTCCTAAGTATTGCATTGCTCTGATGAATTGAAGCACTTACTGGGCATTAGCAAATATTTTTGTTAATTATGAAAGACACCTCCGTGTTTCCTAACATGACAGTTGTAGACATGCATTTACCTAGAAAGCTATAATAGATTCAATGAGTTTAGCAACATATATCATGGCGTTTTGTAGACTGACAAGCATCAATGTCCATGGTAATGATAACATACTACAATCGCCGGTTGTTGAATACTATGTCTTTTTGTCTTATTTTATATATACTATATTTATGTATCTTTATCTATTGAACTATATACTCGTAACTGTCTCGTTACTTACATATTTGTTTCCATTTACCTGCAATTTCATTTGGACATCCATATTATATATATATATATATATATATATATATATATATATATATATATATATATATATATATATGTATGTATATAGATATCGGTTTATAGCTGGCCATCTATATATCTGTCAATATTCATGTGTATCAGTTCATTTGATTATATAGAGATACATCTCTATCTACTGAGGTATATTTTAAGAGGCATTATGCGTCTATATTTGTACTTCTACACATGTATCTCATCATAATTTATATATTTATACATATCAGATCCGTTTACAAAATTTAGGACAAATAAAAGTCTATTCATATCAGTTCCGCTTCCGTTTACTGAACAGTAATTGAAACTATTAATATCAGTCCCGTTTTCGTACTTTGAACAGTAATTATGACTCTGCATATCAGTAACGCTTACACATTTAGAACACAAATTGAGACAAAATAATCAGTCTGTGAATAAAATGTAATACAACAGTCCTTCATACTACCCCATCAGTCTCTCACGGATCCCTAGGGTGTGTGACGCAACAGCTTTGGTGTCGCCAGTGTGCTCGGCGAATGTTCATTTAGTTTAGTTTTTAGTTTTTAGAAGGGTCGTCTGTTATTCGGGTTCTAATGTTCCGCATTTCCTAGTGTTTTCAATGGTTTATCTAC